TGCTGAACATTTTTTCTAGGTTTTCATTTGTATTTTTACTTAATTACAGTTTTTATTTTGGAATTTTTTTATGTAATAAAGTTTATATTTTCCCTTTTGCTTCAAACTTTAACTTAAATTTAGCAAATTTTCTCTATTCCCAGTAGAAGAATTTACCCTTACTTCTAGTATTTATATACATTTTTTTACATTTAAAGGCCTGGTTCTTTGGAATTTATGCTGATGTGCAGTATTTGGAATTAGTACAATTTATCTTTTCTTATATTCTGCTGTTATCTCAGAAAGTTCATCTTTTTGCCTATTATTTAATATGCTTCCTTTATCATATAAATTTTCATGTAATTTGGTCTATTGATGTGTTAAAATCAAATTGTTTTTGATAAGGTAGAGGCTTTAGAGTATATTTTAATGTCTGTAGGGCTGGCAGTCCCTCTTTCCCCTGTCCCTGCTTAGTTGTGTTTTTATGTTGTTGTTTTCCAGGCTTTTCCTGGCTATTCCTTATTCTCTATGAACTTGTCTTTTCAAGTCAATTTGCATATCATATAACAGAGCTTTTCGTTTGGCTCTTTATTACTTCTTCTCTGCTATATATATGGTCTGTTCTAATTGTAACACTTTAAGTGATCTGTGAAAGAGAAAAATTTCCCTTCCTGAATCAACGGAATACATATGTGTTCCATTTAAGCAAAGAAGGGAAAGGCAGGATTCTGTTAGGCTCACCTTTTTTAGGGAGTGGTTCAGGTTACTTGCACCTCTTTGTTTACCATGAGCTAATAATCAGTAAGGCCCCCACCTGTGCCACTGTAGCTGCATCTTTGGGCAAATATTTTAATCCTCCTCCTCTTTTTCTTTTCTTCAGCCTCTTAGCTGTAAACTGTACTTTCTTAGAATTTCATCCCAGAAATTAGTTGTCATCCTTGGAGCTCCTAATTTATTCCCTAAAGGACCAGATACAATTAATGTTTCCTACTATCTGGTTAAAAAATGGCTTTAGATGGAATCCCATTATGCCTCTCCATCTATCCAAAGCAGAACAACTGACCCAAGAGACTCAGGTGAGAAACCATCAGTAGAACTAAGTAAGTTTGGTTAGGTTGCAAAATGAATATACAAAATTCATTCATTTTCATATAGAGGCAAGTAGAAGATATAATAGAAACAGAAATTCCATCACAGTGGCAAATATGTATGTGTGTGTGCATATTCACACATACACACATATATATAATGCCTAGGAATCAATTTTTTTTTTGCCTAAGAATTAATTTGACAAGATTGTAGAACTCAAGGAAAAACACTGCAAAACTCCACAAAAAGATCTCAATAAAGATTAATTTTGAATAAATATAAGCCACATGGTGCTTGTAGGTGGAATAAACCTGTATAACCCAGATGATACCAAGTGTCCTGGATTTATGAGCTCAGTGTTCCTTTGATATGTGAATAAAATGGCTCTATTTCATGTGTTGTCAAAAGTCTGTTTCTCGGGGATCCCTGGGTGGCTCAGTGGTTTAGTGCCTGCCTTTGGCCCAGGGCGCGATCCTGGAGTCCCGGGATCGAGTCCCGTGTCGGGCTCCTGGCATGGAGCCTGCTTCTCCCTCCTCCTGTGTCTCTGCCTCTCTGTCTCTCTGTCTCTCTGTCTCTCTCTCTCTCTCTCTCTCTCTCTATGTCTATCATAAATAATAAATAAATATTTTTTTAAAAAAGTCTGTTTCTCAAAAATCACTAAGCATTTCTAGAGATGACTAAGGGGCTTATGTTCTCCTTGATCAATATAAACAATTGTGTCTCTGCTCTCCTGTTATTTATTTATTCATTCATATATTTACTTGCTTTACAAATGAGCACTTACTATGTCCTAAGTCCTCCATAGATGCCCACTAACTATTGCTTATGATTCCCATGGCTTTTCCTGTTCCTGGTCACCCTTATGTTGAGAGGTAGTCTCTGTTCTATCATTGCCCAGCTGAGCACCACTAATATAAGGCTATTTTGTACAAGACTTCTGCTGAGATTTTGAGAGTACTGGTGGTGGATAAGCATTATGGAGAATAGATGTATTTAAGTACAAACAGCATAAAACAATGAAAAATTAAATGTTATGCATCTTAAAGTTTATGGGTCATCTCCTCTTGGAAATTTCTCATTTTATCTTTTATTCTTAGGTCTCACTTCTGTCTTTTGGAATTGCTTTTTTTTTTTTAAGATTTTATTTATTTATTCATGAGAGACACAGAGAGAGAGGCAGAGACACAGGCAGAGGGAGAAGCAGGCTCCATGCAGGGAACTCGACGTGGGACTTGATCTCAGGTCTCCAGGGTTACATCCTGGGCTGAAGGCGGCGCTAAACCGCTGAGCCACCCAGCCTGCCCAAATTGTTCTTTTTCTGACTCTCAGCACCTTTTGTGTATCAATTCTTCAGCCTTCTGATGTCTGGACTCCTTCACCCCTCCTTCTTAGTCTCTCAGAACTAAAATCTCTTGTTATTCTATAATGGAGAAAAATTTCTTTCTTTTTCTCTCCCTCTTCCTCATCCAGATCACACTCAGTGGGAAGGGGGTGGGGGGCTTTAAGTAGTCATTAAGCTATTATTGCACACACACCAGAAAAAAGTACTTCTCACTTCCTGAAAAGAATTCTGATCTTCAGAGCTATAATTTTTAAAATATTATTTATCATTCCTTACCACATTTGGATTTTGAAGAGATCAAATCTTTAAAACAAGTAGAAAATAATTACAACTATCATACTAATATTTTTTTCTGGAATTTAATAAAATGATAAAGTTAATTTAGGGGAAAAACAAATTTAGAGGACAAGATAAATCTTAAAAAGAATAATAATGAGGTCCTAACTTTACCAAGAGTTTAATTTAAACAGCACTTATTGTTATTGTTGATTTAACTTATTGTTAAACTGTTATTTAAACAGTTACTTATTGTTAATAACAATAGTTCCACTAGTTCTTCTAGTGGAAGAACAAGCAAACAGAGACATAAAATGTAACACAAAGTCCAAAAACAGATCTAAAGGAAATTAAAAAATACAACAAGAAAATATAGGCAATTATTTCTGTAATCCTGAACTAAGGAAGGTCTCTAACCGTCGGTGTGTGTGGATGTGTATGAGTGTGTTTATCATTTTCACAAAAAGGAGGGATAAGCATGCCTTACAACATGGATGGACCTAAGAAACATTATGCTAAGTGAAAGAGCCAGATACAAAAATTAAATGTTATATGATGCTATTTATATGAAATGTACAGAATAGGCAGATCTACAGTTGACTAGTGGTTGCCAGGGACTGGGAGGAGGGGAGAAGGGTAATGACTTCTAATAAACATAGGAGTTTGGGGGATTTTTTTTAGTTTGTTTTATTTTAGAGTGATGAAAAATGTTCTGATTAGGTACTGGTGATGGTTACACAACTTGAATATACTAATGACCACTGAAGTGCATACTTGAAAGGCTGAATTTCATAATACATGAATTATATCTCAGCAAAAATATTTGAAAGATAAATCAGTTTTGCTTGAGGTATTATGAGAAAAATAACCCATCATACCAATAGAGAATGTTAAAGTGTTAAAGATATTCAATGACATTTGTTAAAGATTGTGAGTCAGGCTCTATTCAGGACCATTGGGATAAATATAGAGAACAATGCAATGAGATTTTACAGTTGGGGAGAGATTGGGCTCAACTCCAAATACAGCTTGGGCAGGTGGCCATTTATAGCCAAGAATTAGGGGAGTGAGGAGGTCAGTGGATGGAAAATTACTAAGAGGAAGCATCAGGGGTAAAGGGTTCTGGCAAAGCTAACCTAACAAGATTCTTGCTAAAGACAGGCCAGGGTAATTATCACCTGTGGGTTGATAGAGGATAAGGAACCTAATCATATGTTGAGAAGAGGGTTCTGGTCAAACTGACTTAGCAGAGTTCTTGCTAAACCTAGATTTTATAAGGAAGTGATGGATGAACCTAGGAGAAGGTTTAGGAGCTTTACCAAAGAATCTTTGTCAAAAAAAAAGTATCAAATGTGAACTAAAAATTTTAAAAAGAACAAATGATTAATAAACTTATAAAATGCAAATTAAAACAATGAGATGAAATATGTGCCTATTTATTGGCAAAGATGTAAAGAAATTATAAATTTCCATTATTGGGTAGGTTGTAGTCTAATGGATAGTCTCATATACTGGTACTGATGAAGGGTAATTTGGCAGTATATTTCAAAAGCCTCAAATTGTGTCCTTGTGATTGCATTTCTAGGAATTTACCTTAAAGAAATACTGTGGGCCATTTAAAATAATGTAGTGAAGTAATGGTAACACAAGAATTTTCTGCTAGGGAGAAAAATTAGATTGTACAGTAGAAGATGGCTGGCTCAGTCGGTATGATTTCTAGGTGGTGAGTTCAAGCCCCACATTGAGAGTAGAGCCTACTTAAAAATAAAAGATAAGACAGCTAAATAGAAATGCACATGGAAAGGCTGCAGAGATAGGTAATTTGTATTTTCTTATATATTATCTCTACTTAGTTTAGCTATGTTTTCCAAATATTCTATACTTGATTATCCTTTATAACCAGAAAATAATAGAAAATTTATTTAATACAGTTTCAAGTGTGGTGAAGCTTTTAGGGTTGTTCTGTTTGGTTGAATACCATAACAGAAATAAGATTAGAAATTTTTTATTTTTCCTGTTTCAAAACAAAATCTCTAGATTCAGGAGAAGGTTAATTGGAAGTACTCAAAAGTTCTAAGTCAGACTCTCATATCTAGTTGTTCATGAGTTTCTTTCAGTAGTGTTTTAACCAATTGATGAATTGATATTTATATTAACATAGACGATTGTAAATTATATCCATTCCAAGGATTTTCCTCTTCAAAGTCAGATATTTTAAGCTTTACAACCAGGATCATGTTGAGTGGAGTTCTTTCTGATTATTGACTTGGATTATGTTCACTGGGTGTAACAATTTTCTTTTCCCATTTCCTAGACAAAATCATGAATAAACTGGAGGACACGCAGGACCAGATGATACCATGAAGAGAAGTTTACAGGCCCTCTATTGCCAACTATTAAGTAAGTTGATATCACATTTCTTTTAGAATATACCAGTATTATTTGTCCAGTGCCAGAAACTTCTACATTATCTGGAGGAAGACCAAAGTTTGCTCAATAGAAAATTTCCCTCTGCTTCGTCTAGGTAGTTAAACTATCAAGTATTAAGTCATTCTATTATTTTGGGCATCAGTTGTATACTCTGTTATAATCATTCTAAGTTGGCATGTTAATTTAAAGATGAGCGTCAAAAAACATTATTGCTCTAGGCTTTGTGGCAGAATAAAGGGTTTCAGTATGATCTTCTGTAGGTTCCTCACAGAAAAGAAATCGTAGGCTGTGTTTTTTGGATTTTGTCATATAGAACCTGTTACCATTCAGTGACTGTACAACCTCTGACTTGGAATGTTTTGCTTAATTATGTGTGTTATTAAGTAATGAGTGATAAAAAATATGATTTCTTTAGGTTTGATGGTAGAATGAAATGTTTGATTATGACTTTATGCATGTTGCTCATGTGTTTTGTGGATTGTGGCACAAATCTCCAGTTGCCCCAGAGTGACTATAACCTTTGGGATGGCAGTTGTTACTGAGTGAATGTAAAAACCAATTCCAGTCGGTAGGTTTGATATTCAGGTTGACCCACTTGGGACAATAGACATTGCCCACTCCAGGTCAAACCAAAGCCATTGAGTTGGAAGAATCTGGAAATTCAGATTTTGTACTTACCTGGTTTTTGCTGAGGTATATAGAAGGCCTATCTTTCCTAGGCTGGATGGTTCCTTTTTAACTTTTGCTTAAAAAATGACATAAGGGACTGAGATGCAAGATGGGCCCTTAGAATTTATTATTCAGGTTATTTTGTACCCCCAGTGCAAAGCACTTTATAGAAAGCATTCAGGTTAACTTATTTCTGCCACTGAATTCTAATCCCTGAACCACAGGTCCCATCACCCTGTTTTCAGCCCGTGAAACGTCACCAAGTTAAATGGCCTCTCTCATGTTTTCTTCATGCATCCTATAGGACTGTGGATTTGTGCCTTTTTTAAAAAAAATAATAAGCCTGCTTGTTAAAAAGTTGGCTTTATAGATTGAAGAAGCAATGTCATCAAGGAATAATTAACTGCTTTGATGGGAGAGTGGACATTTGAAGGTTAGATAGGATTACACACACACACACACACACACACACAAACAAACACAGGAACCCCCATCCAAGAGGAGGAAAGCAGGCTTTGCAGGAGGAACAAACAGGAAATGAAAGAGAGCTTGTAGATTTGAGAGGCAGCAAAATGTTACTTGAGTTCTCCTATGCTGACTATATGCCCCGAAGTTTTTGTAATGCTATAAGTTTGTATGTTACTTAAAAGGCTTCAGTTAAGTATTCCATGGGTCAGAGATCAAGTCTTATGCTAATGAGGCCTATCCTTCTAAGTGGAGCCTTTGTAAAAACTAAAGGGATTTTCCTCAAACGTTAACTGGAATGCTGCAGAAATCAACTTTGTCTTAACAGTTTCACTGTTTGCAGGCTTGCCTAAGACACAAGCAGCCCAGGGTAGGCAGATTTCAGCTAGTTAGGAGGTGGGTGGTGGTGGCCCCTAATAAACCACCCTGGTTACTATATAGTTGGCTGGAGAAGCCCACATTTGTAGAATGGAGAAGTCAAGCACTGGGGCAGTAGGTCACTTAGTCTGCCTTCAGAGAAATGGTTTTCACAATTTCATAAAAATGAGAGGTTGTTACAGCATTTGTTTATTTTCAAGAGAATTGGATATTCAGTAAAACCCAAGTTAACTTAATCTCTGGCACACATACACACTCAGTAGCTGGTATATGTCATTCCTCAGCCAGTTATTAAGCTACACTTGGATTAAAGTTGTCCACAAACAATGTTTTTTTCAGTGTCGGAAACAGACTTGAGAACTACAGGAGCAATGTAAACTTACTGTTACTTTATGTAACATAGCAAATTGATGTTTTTAATTTGGGGGACAAAGCCTGGTAGAGTGTCCTGGTTGTTTTGTTGCATAGCAAACCACCCCCAAATTTTGTAGACTGAAGCAACAACAATCACTTATACTGTTCATGCACCTGCCATTTGGGTAGGGGTTGGCGGAGATTCCACAGTGGGCTGGAGGCTGGACCAGCCTGGGGCCCACCCAACATCTTTTTTCCCTGAGACCTTTTCACATGACAAAGTGGGGGCTTCTTCACAGTGTAGAGGCTTCGGAGTAGTCAGACTTACTACATGGCACTCACAGCTGTGAGGCCAGGGCAAAACCTACAAGGCCTGTTATGATTTAGGCTGGGAAGCCCAAGAGCAATACTTCAGTCACACTGTATTGGCCAAAGGAGTCATTAAGACCATTCCTTATTCAAGAAGAGAGGTATTGGACTCTAACTCTCAAAGGGAAGAATAGTAAGAATTTGTAGTCCTCTTTAGTCTACTACAAAATTTGTTTTAAAAAAACAAGCAGTTACTTACTAATGAACATGAATGAGTTTATAAATTGTCTTTATCATCAGAGAGGCTATTCCCACTTGAGTGCCAACTGTGTCACAGACATCTGCTTATTGGTTTACCTATATCATCTCATGCATTCCAGAGGCAAATGCTTCAAGATGAAGAAGTATTAACTGATGAGTAAGTTAAGGACTGCCCTAGGTTGATGGAGTCGGAATTCACACTCAGGTCTCTCTGACTTCTTTGTTCATGCCCATTGTTTTCATCTTGCCTGGTGCCTTCACTATGTGCAGAAAAAAATCATTGTGGCCCTTCTGCTGTTCTGTGGCTAGCTAGGGGTGGTTCTAACCCATGATTGATAAAGTTTGCATCCTAGTAGTGATGTCAAGTGAAGTTAAAAAAAAGGAAAAAAGATCCAGGCTGTCTCCGGATTATGCATCACAATCAACAGTCATTGGGGTTTCTGTGTGTCTGATAGGGGCTAAGGGATGCAGTCTTTGGCAGGCAGGGAAATTGAGGTTTTAATATTTTACTTTTATTGCAACTGACTGTGTTTAATTTGTTTTATTTCTTGGGCTCCGTTCCACAGTACAGTACTGAGTATTTCATTCTGCCGGCTTTAGCCCTTTGGGAAAGTTTAACACATTTTACATATGATACTTTGGAACAACTGAAAGCTTGAGGATGAGGGGGTGGAGATGAGAACCTTTACAGTTCTGTAAAAAACAAATGCTGCATTCATTTGTCATTTTTACACTAAAAGATATGAAACTAGTGCTAAGAATACCTGGGTTTTTGATCTGTAGACCTGGGTTCAAATCCTGGCACTACCACGTAATAAGTGGCTTATATTAGATAAATTACTTTATTACCTCCATGCATCTCATATGTAAAATGCAATATGACCACCCACTACATAAGATTGTGTTGAGTGAGATAATAGCACATAGAAGACCTACAATAAATGCCAGTTTTCTTACTGGGCCTTAATTCTCAGAATTTCAGAGCAAGTAGGACATTAATTATCATTGATCCCATTCTACAGAGGAAGGAGTTAACATGATAAAGACTGCTTTTCCCAAGCCATATCACAGTTTTTTAATAAAAAGAAGTAATAATGGAAGATAAGAAGCATCATCACAAACCTTTAAGAACATGACATTGTGGGGAGGTACTAAGTTCTGAGTTAGCAGATTTGATCTTTCCCTACGTGCTATGTACTGTGCTACTTTATTAAGAAGACTAAACTAATTATGAGCTATGAAAATAAGTTTTTATATGTCAATATCTATTCAAGTCAAAATTGTTTGGATACTTAGAGTTAAGGAGTGATTATATTTAGTAATTAAGCGTTGCTCTGTACTCAGGCATTTATATTTCTTAAGTCATGCTCTGTATTATTATTGATGCATCTTGCTTGCTGTTGCATGCTCTGCATATACTGGACTAATTGCAGTTGGTTCATGTATTCTGTCTTCATGGTTTGTTTCTCCTGATAAGAGGATTTTTTTTCCGCTGACTCCAGAAACTTAGGCTCTTTTAGATGTTACAGGCAATCATAAACATATTGCATTATGAATGCATATGAAATCAAGGATCTTCATCTCCTCCCCACCGTTGAAGGTATCTTCCCTTGTGTTGTTCGTAACATCCACAACGTTGAAGGTGTCTTACACTGCTTGTTCATAACATCCATAGAGAGTAACAGTGTGGCAGCCATAATTAAGGGCTTTGTTTTGGATTAAGACTGGTTGGGTTCAAATCCTGGCTTACCAAAAATTCTTTTCCAAATGACGTTCACTCTTTCCCATATGAAACATATCAACTGAGTGTGCCTTCACTGCCAGTAGCTGTTGGATTGTCTATCCACCTCTTGCAAATCTGTCACTCTTGAGGCTACTAAAGACTGTGCTCTTAAGGAAATAAAAGAGCATGTCCTATTTAGTAGCTAAGAGCAATTTATCAATCTGCATTTCTCTCATGCTATCACCAGTGGCTATAATAACGGTAATGACACATTTGGTCTTCAGTCAGTGTTATGGAAATAGAGGAATCTGTTTCGTCAAAACTGCATTTCTGTATTTTAGGCTTGATTATTCTTATTGGTTTTTATCAATGTTTCTTAAACCTGAATTTACAGTAGAATCACCTGGGAAGCTTTTAACAAATCCCGGTGGCCAATCCCTACTTTTTTTATCAATTAAATCAGAATCTTTAGGGGAGGGAATGGAGAGTATGGTGATTGGGCATCAGATGATTATAATATGCAACCAGGGTTGAGAATCACTGGCTTAGAGCAATGCTTTTAAACTTAGTCATGCAACAGCATCAGCTGAAAACTTGTTTAAACATGGATTGCTGAGCTCTACCCCCAGAGTTTCTGATTCAGCAGATATGGGGTGGGGACAGTAATTTGCGTTTCTAAATTTTCAGTGATGCCAAAAGTTTGGTCCTGGGACCACACTTTGAAAATCACTGTCTTAGATTTATGAAAAGCTATCTTGGAGCAGAAGGAAGCTTTTCAGCTTCCCTGTTATCACTTGAGCTGCCTAGCGGT